CAAAGAAGACATCCAAGTGATCAACAGACACATGAAAAGATGCCAATATCACTGGTCATCAGAGAAATACAAATCAAAACTATAAGATATCATCTCACATCTGTCAGAATGGCTAAAATCAACAACACAAGGAACAATAGGTATTGGCAAGGATGTCGTGAAATGGAACCCTCTTACACATTTTTTTCTACCTCACATGGAATATTCACCAAAAGAGACCATATGCTGGGTCATAAAACACACCTCAATAAATAAAGAGAATAGAAATCTTGTAAAGTATGTTTTGGGATCATAATGGAATTAGACTAGAAATTAATAACAGAAAGATATCTGGAAAACTCCCAGATTTGTATGCTAAACAACCCACTTTTCCTTAATCCATGAGTGAAACTAGAGGTCATAAGGGAAATCGGGAAATATTTGGAATATTATGGAAAAGGCAAAACTGTAGGGACAAAAAAAAACAGATGCCTGTTTGCTTGGGCCTAGGGAAGGGGAGAGGAGACTGACCACAGGAGGAGGGCATTCTGTGCAGTAATGGAAATGTTCTTAAGTTTGAATGTGATAGTGGATAGTGCATCATTACATGCACTTGTCAAAACACATAGAACTGGTCACTAAAACTAGCAAATTTTATTATATGTAAACTGTACCTCAATAAACCTGATTTTACAAATTTTTCTTTAAAAAAAAGTACACAGAACAGGAAAAATGAAATTCAAATTTCCACGTACACTCCTGTATGTTCTCAGTGTTGGCTGCCCCATGTGCCCTTTGCTACATGAGCACCCCACACCCACACCCTCATCCAGCCTCAGTGAACCAAGACCAAAAGTCCAAGAAGCTCCCATCCTTTAAGAAAACATAAATTTAAAAGTGGTGTTAGTGTTTATGAATACTACATCCTATAATCACTGACAGCCCTCATCAAAATGACTAGCATCCTCTAAATTTTAAAGGTAAAGTTCAGATGTAAATTCTCCTTATCCACACAGATGATATAATTTTTACTTCCAGATTTCAGCAGTTGTCCTTGATTTTGTATAAGGAAAGTCATTTAAACTCCCTAATTCTATAAGCCATTCCCATGGCCCCTACCAGCTACTTCAATCTCAAGTCTTAAATTCCAGAGATCAGATAAAGGCTCTGTATCACAGCTAATGAGTCTTAATGCTCTTTCAGACTCAAAGCTTTAGACAGGCTTTTCAGAATAAACTTATTTTTCCAGCATAGTCGATTTTCTTGCTAGGCAAGATTTGATTACCAAATTGCGCTAAGTTCTAGAAATTCAGGTTTCATTCTTGTATGCTCCCACATTTCAGCAGACAATTAAGGAACTTTCTGATCCATGCTCCCGCCCTCTGGGGTTTGGGTAGAAGACAAATCTACCACAGAAAGTTACACTCACATTTCTGGGGCTTTGATCCTTGGGGACTCAGTAAATCCTACAGTGGGACTTCTGTAGTTGAACAACTGTGTGGCAAGCAACGTGGTTTTGCTCATTTGTTAATTCACAAACATTCTTGTATGCTCCCACATTTCAGCAGACAATTAAGTTTTTTTTCTCTTATCCGTTCTTCCTTCTGATTAGTTTCACTGTCCTATTGAACACCTTCCTTGGAGGATTCTAATCAGGATATAGAATGAAACCCAAACTCTTTATTTCTTTAAGAGAACACTTAAATAGGGCTCTTATGTGCCATGCATTACTCCAAGCATTTTATAAAGGTTAACTCATTTCATCTAGGTTAAGTCTTCAGTTTGGCATTCCAAGCATTCCCCACTTAGCTTCTACTTCCAGCCTTTTCCCACCTCTCCAACTGCCCTGTGACTCAGCCTCACCATTCTACTCTGCTTGCCTCAAACATACTCACAAGCACCTCTCATCCTCTGTTCGTCTCTTTCTGAGACACTGTCCCCACCTCATCCCCCAAAATCTACTTGTCAAAGGCCAAAGCAGGCTCAAATCCTACCGTCGTTAAACCTTCCCAAAGCCTCCGACTCAGATCTGTGCCCCTCTCCATTACTCTTTGTGGGACTAGAGGTACAAGTAATTTCTGAACAACATAATCTCTTATAGGAATTAAAACTTAGTGGAGTTTGCATCGTCTTTTCTATATTCCTCTCCCTACACTGCCTGACTCAGTGTTGTTCTGCATAATAGATGCTGCTCAACATGTAAATGTCATGTAAATACATTCAATCTATAAAATAAAGACAGACCTTAAAGAGCAATTTTCAATACTTTGCATAGAACAACATATATTGCCCCAAATCATTTATTTTCAAAATTGTATACAAATGGTCACTTTATAAAAGTACTTATTTTATCAATTTTTTAAGCATTTTCTATGTGCCAAGTGCTGTGGCTAAGCATTTTACATGCATTATAACTTAGAATATTCCCCAAAAATTATCCCATAAAAGACTTGCCTTATATTCAAGTCATTATAAAGTTCTATTATGAAAGTATCTCCTTTTTTGAAAAATAATATACTGTTTGGGGAAGACACATTCTTCTGAACTAATTCAATCATGCTAGCATAGAAATCATCTGATAAAATCTATTTTTTCAAATGGGACCAGGAGACAAATTTAACATAGACATTTGAATTATTCCTACAGCATGATTTCACAATTGCTAATGCTGGGAAATTTGGAAATAAACTTTATAAAGATCATTTTAAAACAAAAAAAGTAACATAGCCAGTTGTTGAGGAACCACAAGTATACCACCACAGAGAGAAAAAAACACCTGAAGGTTTGAGAATTAGTAGCTGAGGCTAGAGATAAAACTTCTAATGCCATGTCATATGTGGGTTAAAAAAGCTCTGCACAACATCTCAGGAAAGCAACAATGATGTGCTCTGGAAAACTCTGCCTAGAAAGGAGACTCAAAAACAGCTCTCTATTGAAGATAAAGACACCAGAGTCAGAGATGACCGTTAAGGGTTTGAACAGAAGTGTTCTGGGGCGCCTGGGTGGCTCAGTTGGGTAAGCGTCTGACTTCGGCTCAGGTAACGATGTCAGGGTCCTGGATCGAGCCCCGCATCGAGCCCCGTGTCCTGTCAGTCACATGGCCTCATCTGGCTCTGCGCCCAGCGGGGAGTCTGCTTGTCCCTCTCCCTCTGCCCCTCCCCCTTCTCATGCTCTCTCTCTCTCTCACTTTCTCTCCCAAATATAGAAATAAAATCTTTAAATTTTTTTTAAAAAGTGTTTTGTGAAATGGGAATGTAAAAATATTTCGGTAATGTGTTACATATTCCTATTTCAGATCACATCATGTATGTAATTGTAATATTTTATTATGTATCACGTAAATATTATATATCAAATTCACCCCAAAAAGAATTTTTTTTTAATCTTCTTGTTGGAAAAATGGAGGTTTGCCTTCGATGAGGGTGACCTTAGATGTGAGCATGGATGGTTCTCTTCACAACCACCCGGTGCACTGGGTATTATGCCCATTATCCAGAGGAGGAAGTGGGGCTTAAAAGTTGAGAAACTCACAAGGGCACACAGCTGCTCAATGCAAAGTCCACTTGACTAAAAGTCTGTGCCCTCAACCACCACCTCCATGGCAGGAAGCTGACACAGGTCCTTGCTAATGTCAGGGGCCACAAAATCCAAATTGTTTTTCCTCCTCCAGCAGGATCAGCATAAGAAGCATACACTTTCCTTAGAAAATGCATGTGAAGAACCTTTTCTGCTGAGCTCACACTGGCAAAAGCGAGGCCCCCCCCGACAGCAGTCAGCAGCACTGCAAAGGTGGAAAGAGATGGCACTGGAAAGCTCCCGAGAGGAGCCCTCTGATCCCTCGTAAGACTCCCCAGTTTTATACAGTCTTCACCAAATGAGAGACAGACATGAAAATATGCAAAAGAGATACGGAACTGACCTATCTTATGTATCCAGTCCTCTTCTTATTTTCCATTTGACACGTGTTAAACGAACTAGAGAAATTTTAGAGCTACAAAGACAGAGAACCTCAATTAACTGTATTTGACCTCAATCTCAGAGCAGCAGCTGACCATAAAACACACTCAGTCTTTTTGGTTTGCTCCCAAATCCTCAGCTAGAATGTCATCACAGAAACAACATGAAATGTGCAACACTGAATCAACAGAAACGTGCAAGCCTCACAACACATGATACCAAGGAGGGGTATCAGGAGTGATGCTTCTTTCAATTTTAGGTAAATCCGCTTAAACCTTATGGCAGTAAGTGTAACATTTTTGAAAAGACAAATTTATACATCTGGGTTCTTAAATAGGGGCAGGAACTGTCTACAGACACAGGAGCTCCAGGAGGGACGGGTCCTGACCCAGCAGGCACCACGCTGCGGGCACAGCCCCCGAAGAGCCTGGCTGCAGCTTTCTCTGCTGTGCGAACAGTGCCCAAGGAGTTCTTCTTTTAAATACAGTTGTTGGAAAAGTTACATGCAAATGTTACAAGAAATGAAAGGGTTTATTTCCGATGATTTCTTTTATTTTTTTTAAAGATTTTATTTATTTATTTGACAGAGAGAGACACAGTGAGAGAAGGAACACAAGCAGGGAGAGTGGGAGAGGGAGAAGCAGGCCTCCCGCCGAGCAAGGAGCCCGATGTGGGGCTCGATCCCAGGACCCCGGGATCATGACCCGAGCCGAAGGCAGACACCCAACGACTGATAATTTCTTTTAAATTTTTACTCAATTATATATGAGAACAAAAATATAATCTCTCATTCAATAGAAAAATAAAAGTGTTAGCTGTCCAGAAAACCCTATTTCTGTTCAAAATTCTAACACCTCTGAAAGACAGTATTTAATCAATCACGGTAGTTTGATGAGAGCCCATATAGATGTTTTGAAACAATGCTTATCACATAAAACATAATCCTGACATTCAGGGTACAAGATGCCCACACCCTGCAACTGCCTTTCATCTCCCCCGCTCTTCCAAGGAAGTTGGAAGACAAGCTCTTCAAGCCCTTGAGACTAAGCGCAGTATCAACTCACCTGAATGTGCATGGCGCCCTCTGCCGCTGCTTGCATAGTCAAACAACCACTGATGAGCGACCCCTGCTCTTCAGCACTCAGGGAGCCTTTCAGAGAACCTGACTGCTCCAGAAACTTCATCTCTTTTCTAGAAAGAAGAGTGACCCTGTGAGTATCTGAAAGCAAACTTAAAAACAAAGGTAAACACGAATCCCTAGGGAAATGCAAATCAAAACCAAAATGATATATATACCTACCACTTCACACCCATCAGGATGAAAAAAATAGAAAGTAAACCAAGAGTTAGTGAGGATGTACAGTGTTGGTGGAAATGTAAAGGGGGAGGTCACTGTGGCAAACAGTTCGATGGTTTCTCAAAAAGTCAAAAAGAGAACTACCTACCATATGATCCAGCAATTCCAATTCTGTTAATACCCTCCCCAAAATGAAAGCAGATACTCAAACAGACATTTGTGTCTTCATGTTCATAGTAGCATTGTTCACAACAGCCAAAAGATGGAAACAACCCAAAAATCCATACATGGATGAAAACAAATGTGGCACATACATACAATGGAATTTAATAGAATGGAACTCAGCCTTTAAAAGGCAGGAAATTGGGGCATCTGGATGGCTCAGTTGGTTAAGTGTCTGCATTGGGCTCTGGTCAGGATCTCAGGGTCCTCAGATAGAGCCCTGCATCAGGGGCTCTCTGCTCAGCAGGGAGTCTGCTCCTCCCTCTCTCTGTTCCTCCCCCCTGCTCATGAGCTCTCTCTCCCTCTCTCTCTCAAATAATCTTTTTTTTTTTTAAAAAAGGGAGGAAATTCTGTCACATGCTGCAGCATGGATGAACCTTGAGGACATGACACCAAATGAAAACAGCCAGTCACAAACAGACAAATAGTGTATGATTCCACTTATATGAGGGACCTAGAATAGTCAAATTCGTAGAGACAGAAAGTGGAATGGGGGCTGCCAGGGCTGGAGGAGGGTACCTGTGGTTTAATGGGTACAGAGTTTCAGTTTTACAAGATGACCTTTTGGGGACAGATGGATGTATGACAGTGAGAATGCACTTGATGTCACTAAACTGTATGCTTAAACATTATTAAGACAGTAAATTTGATGTCGTGTGTATTTTACCACAATTAAATTTTTTTCTTTTTGTTTTTTGAAGAGATGAGGCAAGGCCAATATGAGGTAAAATTGGAAAGTAGTAGTTCTTCACCCACTTCTGTCAATCCCTGGGGAACAATATTGAAAGAAGGTATCTCATAGGACCAGGGCCTTCATGGGGCGTCACCCGTGCAGTCAGAGACCTGTGCTCAGAAGGGCCCTCACTGGGTTTAATGCTCTGCTGTCATGGTCTCAAAATGCTTAATGAATATTGAGCAAAGGGCCCCACATTTTCATTTGCACTTGGCCTCACAAATTATGTAGTCAGTCCTGCTTATAATTCATGACATATTAAATAAATATAAACACATACAACATATACAAACACACACACACAGTTGCCTAAGGAGCAACATTTATGCTTTCCAAAAAATTCTGTGGATTTCTGCCAGTGAGTCAAATATTTTTTACAGCATTTCATGTTCATGGTTTTGATCTTTAAGCTGTTGACATCTTCAGCCAAAGACTACCAGGAACACACCTACAGTAGGACAAGTCAAGTTTGTTACTCACTGCATTGAGGGAGAATGCACAGCAGGGGGAACTGTGGGGTATTAGTAAGAAAGTGTCAGGGAGAACCTGTAGCAGGATTTGAGCTTTGGTTGGGTGATTTGGAAGAGGATCTGAGGGTCTGATTTCACTGGATTGGATGCTGTAGAAAGGGAAGGCAATTTGAACACTGAGTATCTCAATAAACATAAATATTTGGAGGACAGACTAGACTGAAAATAAAGCTGTCATGAGCAAAGAAGTAGCAGTCATTCATTTTAGCCAAGAGAAGGCTGCTCAGTATTTGTGGGTTGCACAGTGATCTCATTTTTGTCTATGCTTAGACAAATTTAAAACATGGTCTTGCTTTGTCTCATTCTGTCATGGTCTAAGAGTGACTCTGTCTGAGGTGGGTGTTCGTGAGAATACTTAAGTCCAACAGGCTGGGCCAGCTCCAGATGTTAGGGGCTGTGCTTTCGTTGTTTTTTGTTTTTTCTCTTTCTTAAAACTATGTATCTTGGATTTTGTTTTAGCTACAAATTGAGGAACAGAAACTTTCTTACTACGGTTACTGCAAAAAAAAAAATACAAAGATATGCTGAAATGCAAACAGATTATTATACTTAACAAAAAGAAGCTCCATGGCAAAGATAATGAGTCAACAAATGATCACGCAGATTCAAAGTCTTTCCTGCTTCTGAGTCAACAAACATAAAGACACTATTGCAGGTCATCATCACACATGGGATCTGAACCCAGATTTTTTTAAAGGAGAGGGAGAAATCTGAAATTGTAGTCATGTAGGTAATTTGGAAGATCTGTAATATATTAACTTAAAAAAAAAAAAAAAAAAAAAAAAACTACCTTAAAATCAAGCCAGAAAATGGCTACCTTATTTTAGAGAATCCTAAGGACACACATGCAGAAGTTCCTCCTTGGAACAACTCAATGTTAGGAACTGAATACCCCTGACCACTACCCCCAGTCAGCAAGCATTTGAAAAATATTTTTACATATAACACATTCCTTCAAGTACAGGTTTATAAAGTTACTGAAAATATACAAAACAAAGTGTGTTTCTTAGCCAGTTATCAAGAAGTTTGTATTAGTTATCTAGAGTATTATGTGGTATCTTAGCAACAGATTAGAAATTGACTAAGTTTGATAACCTAAAATCAAGAAAGAACTGATTTAAATGGCAGAAAATAGATATTTTAAACACCATCGAGGGAAATACAGTAAAAAGAGTTACCAGAAAATGTTGCCCTACCAAGATAAGAAGGAAGAGTGAACGTTTACTTGTCCTAGAGGATCCTGGGATTGTGCACCAGCAGTGATCCCCAACCTCCCTGAACACAGTCCGCGTTCTTCACTCAAATAACCACAGTGAGGAGAGCACCACTCGCTCCAAAGATCATTTAATTTTCATTTCATGTTTTGGATCCATTTCTTGAAAATTTTTGGAGTTATGTAACTCTGTAAACGTACTAAAAACCACTTTAAGAGCCAAATATATGCTATATATATTTTATCTCAATAAAGCTGTTGTATTTGTTTCTTGTTGCTTTTATAACAAATTACCACAAACTTAGTGGATTAAACAATACAAATTTATTATCTTACAGTTCCAGGGATCAGAAATCTCAAGTAGACTGACATCAAAATATCAGCAAGGCTGCATTCCCTCTGGAGGCTCTAGAGGCAAATCTGCTCGTTGCCTCTTCTAGCTCCTAGAGTTCCCCGCTCACCATTTTCCTTGGCTTCACGGTCCTCTTCCATTTCAGAGCATGCAATCTCATCACTCCAACCTCTGCAATCTCCATCACACCTCCTTCTTCGGCTCTCCTCACTCTCTTCTCCTGATAAGGACCCTTGTAATTACATGGAGCCAATCTGGATAATCTCCCATATTCATATTCTCAACTTAATCACAACTGGTCTCTATTGCCATATAAGGTAACATAGTCCCAGGTCCCGGGGATTAGGGCATGCACATCTTTGGGGTTGTCATTGTTCTACCTACTACACTTACATCAAAAAAAAAAAACTTTTAGAATATGTGATGTATGTAGAATTCCTGTAAAAATTACTGTCCAAAATTGTGCTTACAGAGAGGACTTATCTATTAAACAAAAAATTAGGTTAGATAATTAGGTTATGTTTGGCTCTTTGTACTTCGCAGATAATTTTCCACCATATTCTGAATTCCACTAGCTGTTGAAAAGTTTGTTGTCAATTTGTCACTCTTTTATAGGTAGTCTGTCTCTTCTCTCTCTACTTTTAAGACTTTTCTTATGTCCCTTGGTGTTTTGTAGCATCCCTGTGATGTATATAGATATAGATATCCTTTTTATTTATCCTGCTTAGGACACTTTGTTCTTCCAGAATATGAGGATCTGTGTCTTCAACTGAAATGAAGTCTTATTCATTATATCTTCATAAATTGTTCCTCCCTATTCTCTCTAAATCTTTCAGACCTCTAATGAGATCTATGTTAGGCATCCTCTCTGTATCATTCATATTTCTTAACTACTTTTTCACATTATCCATCTCTTTATCTCCTGAATTCCATGCTAAATAATAAAACTGACTTCCAGTTTACTATGGTCATAAAACCTTGTCTCTCACGTGTTTGGGGATTTTTAGTTGTGAGCAGATGTTCACTGAACTCTGTCTGTGGGAATTCTTTGAGCCTTTGATTTCAGGTACATTATTCTGGAGACGGTATGTATCTTCTTGCTGACAGGCACTGCAGACATTTCTAACCAAGGGACCGATTTGAATTCTTGGATTAGAGTTTATAAGACCACACAGGTAATATGAATTTGGGTTCCAAAATTCTTAGAGAGCTGGTTTATGGTTATAAATTCTCAGAGAAACTCCTTCTCTCCTCCACCCAGAACCAAGGCTGAGACAGACAAGCCCCCACATACAGACTAGTTATTTTTCCTACTACTCCTTTCACCAACAATGTCACCCTCTGAATAGTAACTTCACTTGGGGGTCTCCAATTTGATCCCCCATCTTACACAGACTAAGGTTTGCTGTTAGAACCAAAGCAAGATCGGCAATTATCTTAGAGCAGCTGTGACGTTCACATATCTCTTGGAATGTGTGCTCCCAAATTTGGTCTCTCAGAATTTCCATTACTTTCTTGCCAGATCAGCTATGCATTATAAACTATAAATTTTCTCAATCCTTTTAAGTATTTTGAAGTGGAAAGGTCTTTCAGGATACTTAGTTTGCCATATTGCCAGAAACTAAACTCTAGACTGTTTCTTTAAAATCTAATATTCTTAGATATTATGTGCACTTCATATTTCATGATAAAAGAGAAATACTGACCATACCCATTTCAGTAATAAGTTATTAAATATGAATATAATCCCTACTATGCACATGAATTTATAACACATAATTGCTAATTGATTACAACATAGTTCTTGTTCATATGTGTAGCAAAGAAAAATACTGGTTTTTAGA